TGTCAAGAAAGTGGGGTGGACAAGAAAAATGATGATGACGAGGAACACGAAAGTCAGGGGAAGAAACTGCCAAGCAGAACTCACAAACAGAAAAATGATGCCAAAAGAGTCCTACCGGGACTATAAAACTCAAGTTATCAGTCCCCAGTGGACTTTAAAACTCAATTTGAAAAACAATACTTTATAAAATTTTGTTGCCAAGGGGGAATGTCATCCGGTCTGGATCGACAAACTAACCTTATGTGTATGTTATTTATATTACTAATAATCTTATGCTAAACGCCTAGACGGCTGGTCACTTGACCTTGGTAGACAGAGAGGACGAACACTAACTGCAATAAGAATCAGAGTTGAATTAATGTTATCTGTCAACTAGTCGTTTTATATCGCTCCGACTTAGAAATAAGGTTTATCGATCCGATCGGATTCAAGTGTTAGATTATCATACCCTCCGGTATGACACTCACATTAAATAGCGCCAGTTCAAGTTTGGTGATTAGCAAATGTTATATGAAGAGTTGGCTCTTTTTCCTTTTCCCGCCACCGGCAATTTTTTACTAGTAAAGTTAGTGTTCACATTGTCCGATCATTATGAAAATTGACATGCGGACTAATTAGGATGTGGCAAACACATTTGATCTCCATATTTAACCCTGTAAAACGACTCGTTACACCATAAAATTGATGGTCGTGGGAGGTGGGGGGAAAGGAAAAAGAGCCGAAGAGTTAAACGAAATTATCATGGTAAAAAACCGTCCCTGAGAACAATTTATTATGATTTATCTTCTTTACAGGCTACCCTCTGCCAGTGATCGAGTGGTTCCGCAAAGGGAAACTGCTCAAATCAGCCGGCAGAATCTTCATCTCAGAAGACCCCTTCTCTGGCAGAGGCACTCTGACTATCAGGGGCTGTGATCTCACAGATGCAGGGGAGTACACGGTTGCTGCCAACAACACAGTCAATGCTATTTATGCTGTCGTCAATGTATCTATTCAAGGTAAGCCACGCGGTGTTGGGAAAAAAATTGATCTGGGAAGTAAAACATTTTTTTTAAAGAAACTATTTTATACAAAAAAGTTTTGAGTGAAATAATATACCGACAGATATTTCGATTTTTTTGTTGAAGCTTTTGATTTAAAAAGAAGTCAGTTTGCGCAGTTTTTTCATTTTTACTTTACGACTGTTTTCGAAAACTTTACGACCGTCTTACTACTTACCGTTTTCTGATGTATGATGGGGTTCCCAGGGCGCTGTTAACTACCTCAAAAAAAGCTCACAGGGACTTAAGTGTGGGATCTTTTTTTGGCGTGATTTTGAGCTTGGAAAGATATTTCGAATTTGGTTTTCTCAATGGCGATAAAAATTTGTCTGACTACTTCAGTTTTTCAGACTTATTTACAACGGGAGAAAATCATAGCGAGAGTCAAATATACATGGAAAATTTCGCAGATTGATTTTCAAAGACTATTTTTTTTAATTGAGTTGTGGTATGACCTCATTTTTAATGTTTATTTTAAACACTTTCCCTGTGCCCAAGAACAGCAAGAGAAAATGTTTTAAATACCGTGATTATTTTAACACCTTACTTAAAATTTATAGTCTAGAGCCATGTTTTAGAGTCTAGATCCCATGTTTTACCTGATAAAATTTATGCGTTCTTTTCCCATAACTATTTCAAAAAACGTCTTTCTACTTGAAAGTCTTATTAGATATTTTAATTTTTTAAATAATTCCTACTTAGAGTTAATTACTGTTCTGTTTTATTTTAGAATGCGAAGAAGAGGAAGACGAAGACGAGTTTGACGAAGACGAGTTTGACGAAGAAGACGAAAACGACAACGATGAAGATAAAGAGGGAACTGACACCGAAGAAGGAGAGCCAGACGTCGAAGACACCTCGAATGAACCGAGCGGAGACACTCCCGAGGAACCACCCGACAAGTCACCTTCGCCTCCAGAACTCCCGCTACCTTCCGAAAAATTAGCCACAAGTGATCCAGATAAAACCTTAACTCCGGGTTTGGGCGAACGACGGGCTCTGGGTATAATGTCTTCCGAGATTCAGAGTCCAGCTGAAAAACTTAAGTTTTTCGGGTCGAATTACCTTCCTGACGACGATGATTCGGATGATGACTCACTAATCTCTTCGACGGAAACTCCTGGACTACCAACGATTGAGCTCCCAGAAACTTCTCCAGGTTTCTTTGACAATCTAGGCGAGGACTCTTCATTAGAAAATGAAATTTTTGAAACCCTTAAAATGAAGAAGCAAGTGTCATCAGCGTCTATAGATTCAAGTAACCCAAGCTCCACTACAAAAACTCCTCTTGATATCGATTCTGCTTCTTCTCCAAGTGTTACAGCTACGTCACCGAACGTCACCGCTACACAACATCAGCCATTAAGGAACACAGACTCGTATGGAGCTAACACCGACGACGTTTTTGCCGAGAAGAAACTAAGCGCGACAACAAGCAAGACTTCTGTTTCGAAACTCAGTCCCGATGCGTCGCCTCCGACACTCGGTCGCTCAATTTCACCCCGGATGCGTTCGGCATATCCGGAACTCCCGCGAGTACCTCCCGAGATCATTAAACCTCTTGCCGACGTTACAGTATCTTCCGGATGCCTGGTTACCTTGTAATGCTCTTTCGCACTACCGATTCCAGATTCGATCGAGTGGTTCAGGAACAACGAGCAAGTTCAGTCCAATCATTCCATTGCGTTCAAGAATGATCTCGAGTCTGGCAGTGTGTCGTTGAGTATTCTTTCTGTTATCCCACTGGACGAGGGAATTTATGAAGTGGTCGGAAAAAACGTTCTGGGTTCTATTCATTCTTCAGCATTTTTGAAAGTTGATGGTGAGTTCCGTGTTTAAGTATATTTAAATAACTAACTATCTTAATGTTTTTTTTGTTTGAACATTTAAAAATTTTCTTCTTGACGTGGCTCATTGAGCTTTAAATATGAAAAATAAGGCCGAACTTGATTGTTTTTAGGTAGCAACATGGTTTTTCTTCTTGCTTTCTCGCTTTTTTCCTTTTGTTTTGGTTTTGTGTTTTCCTGCCAGTTATTTCATCATTTCACAGTTTTGCTAGTTTTATGATAGTGGCCATTCACAATTCGTTATCAGAAGAATGAACCAAAGAATTAAACTAGTTCGCAAAATTTATCCATGGATTGACTTCAGGATTGCAAGTCGCATTTGACCGGAAAGACCGGAATGCAATGGGATCAACAGATAGTTTTAGCGCATGCAAAAAAAAAAATGATGAAAAAATATATAAATTGAGATAAAAGACTTCAAAAAACAAGTTAAAAAATTTGATGACCCTAGCGGGATTCGAACTCTAGTACCTTATTATTTTACGATGAATATAACGTCGCTTATATTTTTACGATGAATGTTTTTTTTTCAGCCAATCAGCTTCGGCGTATCTCGGAGAGTGACGAGGACACAATGTGTGAGAGTGTGAAGACAGACGATGGGTCGAACACAGTGGTGGACTCCTCCTGTCATATATATATTATTCCTAGTATCTAACTATATATATTACATTGTTGGCGCCATTGGTTTAGCCATGTGTTTGGTGCGGCTACCAATTAATTAATACCTGCCAATCTTAGTTAAGTCTGCTGTGTTTTGAGTTATTGTTGTTAACCGTTAAGACTAAAACGAGTCAGTCTAAATTCAGTGAATTTACGATATTGATTTTACATTTTTCACATGGCGCAGCAAGCAGGACAAAGCGCGGGATCAGGGAAAAATCCACTGGGGATTACGGCATTCTGGCCGAGCAAATGTACGGAAGCACCAATGCTGTGGGAGCATTGGATTACACGATTTACCTGGGGTGTAGTAGCAAAACACTCATTCAATCCGACGGCATTTTATTTTGATCGGACGCTAACCGCGGCGCAAATTACACATCTGCCCGAGGAGGTGAATGGGAAAAATCGATTGGAAGCTGAGCAGACACTAATTTCTAATCTCTACTTGTGTTTGGGGGAACGTGGACAGGACGAACTACATAACCGGAAACCCCATTTGGATCTGGCGACTACCCGATATCCACGGGTTTTGGATGAATTTGAGAATGTCTTCAGGAAGGAAAGAAACGAAACGTTCGAGACGTATCAGCTACTATCTCGGAAACAACGTGACGGGGAAACGTTGGAAGAATTTCAATCCGTATTGAGTGGACTGGCCGCTAGATGCTCATTGGGAGCACTGGAACGACGGGTGTTACGTGACGTATTTATAGTGAATATGTCCAATAAGGAGGCTCAAATGGAGCTATGTCGTTCAACTAAGCACACTCTAACTCTAGCAAATGGCTCTGTACTTAGGAAAAGTGGGGTTGCTGAGAAAGTCATCAAGACCAACGCGCCAAATACTGCGAGCAAACTAACACTACCACCCCCAGCCATGAGTGCGCTGAAACGTCGGGCGGAATTGAAGCGAGCACTAAGCGAACAGGCGGCGGGGACAAGCAGACAGAGTAAGGCCGATAACAGAACGCGAGAATCTTCACCAGCGGAGGAGGCAGACTCGGATTCGGAGTACGAGCCGATAACAATTTCAAAATATTCAGGGAACCCAACAACAGCACCCGGTCGGAACGTGGAAGAAAATGCACCAAAGGAGCCTAAAGATGTAGAAAACGTAGCGGGAAGACCAAACTTATCCGAAGGAAGCGGAGTTCCAACATCCAAGGGGGTGGACACGGAGGTCCAAACCATGAGCACCGAACAAGGGGGAAGTGCCCCGAATTTGAGTAACGAAGGACAAGGGGAAAAACAGCCTAAAAAGAAAGGGGAGCGAGGGCGACGTTTACGCCTCGTATCATATTCTAGTCAGGAATCAGAAGACCAAGATGGGACAGGATCAAGAAAAAGTACCAGGAAACGGACGGCGGTATCCAAATTCGGCGGGGTTATGATAGACAGTATATTGAAAGCGAGAACAACCTAAGGAGGGGAAGACAGAGAGCGGGACACGAATTAAGCAGGAAGATACACTTGAAAGATGGAGTGAAAAAGGAAACTAAAGAAAACTATTTAAACTAAAACTTATGCCTAGGGAGAGGGTGGACTACTGCGGGTCCAAAACTCAAACATTCTCCGTCGGATAATTTTAAAAACATTTGTTTAAAAAAATGATTGTTGAGGGAATGTCATATATATATTATTCCTAGTATCTAACTATATATATTACGTTGTTGGCGCCATTGGTTTAACCATGTGTTTGGTGCGGCTACCAATTAATTAATACCTGCCAATCTTAGTTAAGTCTGCTGTGTTTTGAGTTATTGTTGTTAACCGTTAAGACTAAAACGAGTCAGTCTAAATTCAGTGAATTTACGATATTGAACTTACCTTTTTCACAAGGATTGCAAGTCGCATTTGACCGGAAAGACCGGAATGCAATGGGATCAACAGATAGTTTTAGCGCATGCACAAAAAATAGGTGATGAAAAAATATATAAATTGAGATAAAAGACTTCAAAAAACAAGTTAAAAAATTTGATGACCCTAGCGGGATTCGAACTCTAGTACCTAGGCTTATATTTTTAAGATGAATGTTTTTTTTTTCAGCCAATCAGCTTCGGCGTATCTCGGAGAGTGACGAGGACACATTGTGTGAGAGTGTGAAGACAGACGACGGGTCGAACACAGTGGTGGACTCCTCCTGTTCGGCCAGTCGGAGGGTGTCCATGACTAGTACCTATGGCACTGTGGTCAGCAGCAGTGTGGAGGAGTCAATGTCTAGTTGTGCATTGGGGGGACTTATTGATAAAGTGAACCAAGGTCATCAGGGCGTAAAGGTATGTCACTTTTATTATTTTTATAAGATTATTAT